GCGTCCCTCCTGCACACGCTCCCACAGCCTTTCGCTCTCGCACCTGCCACACTTCACCTCCCAGGGTCTCAGTGGCAGAGCCTCTGTGCTTGGCATGCAGAAGGTCGCAGGTTCAGTCCCCGGCATCTCCAGTTTAAAGGACCAGGCAGTCAGTGATGTGGAAGATCTCAGCCTAAGACCCTGGGGAGCTGCCACCAGGCTCAGGGCGGGGGCAGGGCGGCGACTGCTGCCACCGCAAGAGGCCGCCCCTCCGCCGGCAGCCCTGTCGTCGTCATCCGGGGCACACTGCGCCCGGCCGCCACCACGAGCACCACTGCCGAACACACAGAGAGGCCTCCCTGATGAGGGCCCGCCACCGCACCTGTCCGACCCCGGCGCTGGGTGCTGGGACACAGGCGCCGGTGGAGTGGCTGTGCTCTACCTGCCGCTGGGCCCAGGGGACGAGGCCACCATCGCCCCTTCTTCTCCCGAGGGGGGGGGCTGGCAGGTGGCGGCCCAGCTAGAGCTCGTTACATTTGTCTCCGCAACGGGCCTTCTTCCTAGTATGTAATATTGTATCGTTTTAACGAACTGTTTTAATGGTTTTAATGATTTGATTGTTGATCTGTGTTTTTTGTTTTGCGTGAGCCGCCCTGAGCCTGCTCCGGCGGGCTAGGGCGGGATGTAAATCAGGATGTAAACAAACAAACAAACTTGGGACCTTCTGCAGGCAAAGCAGAGGCTCTCCCACTGAGCCACAGCTCTCCCCATGACGCTCACCTGCATGCCTTGCTGGGAGAAATTTACCCACCATGGAAAGAATACACGGTATTATCCCAGGAAACCCCTTCAGATACGGCGCAGTTGGTTTTAATGGCTGCAGGGCCGTGCAACTCCTAGACTGTAGCAAAGGAGGGTATTGTAAGGAATAGCCAGAGGCTTGGCCCCAGCAGGGTCTGAGCGGCGGGCAGGGGTCATTTCGTAGAAAAAGAGGTGCAGGAGCTCATTAGCACAACTCATTAGCATAACTTATTTGCATATGACACACCCCCTGACATCACCGGAAGTGTGTCAGAAGGCAACACCCGCCGCTCAGGCTCCACTGGACTGTTTTGGATTGCTAGGTATCGGAGGGGGGGGGGACGTGCAGATCTGTCCTCGCAGAGGAGGGAGAGCTTGTACCTGAATAAAACTTGGTCTTAAAGGTGCCACTGGACTCTTTTGGACCGGGGGGAGCTCTGCAACTTACCTGGCTGCTTCTTGCTCTGACTGAGGGCTGCTGGGAGCAGGGGGCGGGGCTTGTTGCATGTGCCTGCCCCCCGGGCTCTTTACTGCCAGAGCTCCGCTCCTGTGCGCTCCTGCCGGAAATGGCCCCTGGCGGCGGGTGTGGGCCCCTGATGGTAAAAGAAGTAAAAATGGTAGGGCAAAAGTGGCAACCCAGTGCTGCTCGGGGGGTGGCACCGGAGCGACCTGCTGGGAGATTTCCAGAGCCGGTGGTAGGAGGGGAGGAGGGGAGGACAGAGAGGCGGTGGCGGGTAGCACGTTGGGCGTGGCGGCCGTTGGGAGGGAGCGTGGGCTTAGCTAAGGCAGTCATTGGCACTGGAGACCTGCGGGGGCTGGCGACGAAGGCTGGAGGGGCAGGGAGACTGGGGGGGGGCAGGGGACTGGGAAAGCACCAGACCCTACTTCGGGGAACATGGAGCGTTCTGCCTGCTGGGATCTCTTGGGCACAAGGAACACGTCTTTGCAGGGGAGGAGGCTGGAACCGGAGGCCAGGGGAGGGATCTTTGTGTTTGAGGCAGCCCGGAGCTAGGGGTTTTTTTGGGGGGGCTCGGGGGGGTCGTAGCTAATCAAATCAAAGTTAATTACATTAATTTAATGGGGGGCCTGGAAGAAACGCCAGGGGGCCAAGCCCCGTGGGCCCCACGCTAGCTGTGGGCCTGGGGTGCTGTGTGGTGGTGGAATGGCCAAGGAGGATCATGGGAGAGGGCGAGCCCCTCCCGAGATAAGTGTGGGGATCCCCTGGTCTGAGGCCCCAGGACTCCCCATAAGGAGGGGCGAAATGGTTAATCCGCATTGGGGGGGGGAGGCCTAAAGCTCTTCCCAGCCCCTTGGTTTTTGTTTTGTTATTTTTTGGGTCTCTAATAATTGCAGCTTTTTCCTTTCTATTTCCAGTAGCTTATAAGTCTTATTAGAACAGGTTTCTTTGTGCTGTTTTTCTAGAAATTTAATTTTATTTATAATTTGCATTTTCATTTCTGCACTCTTTTTTCTATATGCAGCAGAAATTGATATACGTTTTCCTCTAAGAACAGCTTTATATGTGTCCCAAACTGTGTTAAGAGAGATATTTTCTGTTAAGTTAAACTTTAAAAATCCTTGAGTTTCATGTTCTGTGGTTTTCACAATGGCTGGATTTTTCAATAAAAAGTTATCAAATTCCCAGGTGAAACTTCTATCCGATTCGTTTGTTAATAAAAGTGTGCATGGTCAGACCAACATTTGGGTTCCATATCTACTGACTCTACCTTATTTATTAAAGAAGTCTCCCCGTGTTTACAGACTAGAATAGCCAAAAATCCTTTCGTAGCTACCCGGTAACCAAAGCGACAGGCGTTGATCGCTAAAAGCCGTCCAGGGTGCTCGGCAGACGTTGCGTTTCCTGCGCCTGCCATCGTCGTCGCCCGGGCTGCATGTTTTCCCACCTGTCAGCAGTCAGAACTCCTCCTGCCCTTTCGGAAAGGGGGGGGCAGCATCTAAATTTGTTCTTCCAGATCCAAGCTTTAGTGCGTCTGCCTTTCCCCCGGCTCTCTCGTAACCAGGTTTCAGCCTCCGGAACGCAGGCCGCAGTGGGCTCTGGGGCGTTTAATTTGTCTCCCGATTCATCCTAAGTTAATTCTGAGTCAACATTATTTAAGGCCTCCTTGGAAACCTTCTTGGTTTTCGAGTGGCCGGGGGGGG